GTGCTTTAATAGAAATGAGCTGCAAGTGGATTAATCAGAAAATGCTGATAATATTTTACATACTGCTGAGCGTCAGAGTTGGTAGTAAGTTTATTTATTTATTTATTTATTTATTCATATATTTGTATAATTTAGCACTTACAAATCTATCTCTCACTGCTTTTTTCACATTTTATTTTCAGGATGCACAGATGATCTATTCTTTGAAACAAAGACTTTAGTTGTTGGAGATTATGTGACTCTGAAATGCCCACGCCGAACAGCTGAGTACAAAGAAACCATGTACTGGATCAGGATAGTTTCTGGAAGCTCAGCTGAATTCTTGGGAGGAACATTTACCTTTGACTATAATGGTGTTAACAAAACTCCCCATATTACAGCAAAACAAGAGCCTGGAACTTTTACTCTTGAAATAAGTAAAGTTAATCTTAGTGACATTGGCCTTTACTACTGTATAAAAGTCAGGCAGCTTGCTATGACATTTTTAAAAGGAACGTTTCTTACAATTAAAGGTCAATATGTTTTATTTTTTTTAAAAATCTTATTTTTATTTTTCTCGGTGAAGTGAATGAAATATTTTAACTATTTCGTCTTTTATATTTTCCAGAACTAGAACTTGATGTCACTGACATTTTTCAAATGCCTCCATCTGATCATGTCTATCAAGGAGATCCAGTGGCTCTGCAGTGTTCACTCCTCTCTAACACTGAGAAGAAAACTTGTTCTGGAAATCACAGTGTGTTTTGGTTCAGAGCTGGAACAGACGAGTCTCAACCCAGTCTAATCTATGCTCATGGAAATACTGGTGATGAATGTAACAAGAGTCTTGAGGATCCTTCCCAATACAAATGTGACTATAGCTTCTCCAAGAACGTCAGCACTGCTGATGCTGGCTCTTACTATTGTGCTGTGGCCACATGTGGACAGATCGTTTTTGGAAATGGAACAAAGCTGAACATTAAGGGTAAATTTTCCAATTTTTCTCTAATAATTATACAATAATATTAATATTAAATAATTGTATAACCATTTATTAATATCAGCAGAATACACTAGTGTCAAATTTTTAATGCCAAAAAAAAATCCTAATGATGGGATTCTTATATGTTTCCAGGGCCCAGCACATGGGACTTGCAGAAGGCCAATACAGTTCTCTTTGTGTTATCTGCTGCACTGGCTACAAGTCTACTTGTTATAACCTACCTCATCAAGAGATTAAGTGTTTGCTGCCCTGGTAAGTTCTCCCTTCTCTATCTAACAGTATTTGGCAAAAATAACTTCACTTGATTCACATAGTTGTTGTTTTTTTAATCAGACAAGTGTCTTTGATCTTAAATTTCTCTATTTCAAAAAATAGATAGAACAACTAGTGGGAATCAAGAGAATCAGGAGGTAAGGTGTATATCAGAAACAAAGGTAAATTAATGGCATTTCTATTGTTTATCACTTTATTTTTTCTGTAAATTACATGTATTCTATATGTATATGTATTTCCTCAGAGAGGCGAGAAGTCGATGGTTTATTCTGCACCAACTTTCACCAGAAAAAAAAATGGCAAATTAATGAGAAGAAATGAAAAACCATTTCTTCTCAACCAACCAACCAACCAACCAACCAACAGTCTACTCTGATATCAGTGCTTCTGCAGTAAAATAAATATTTTCACACTGAATTATAACTAATATTAGCAATTACAAAGATTTTTATGATGAACTGTCGAAAATTCCATAGCTGCAATATGGCCTCTACTGTACTTTAAACAAAATATATTTTAATAACATGTATGATTTTAACATCACATTATGTTATTGTCCAGTTTGTATTTTTAATGCTTTTCTTATTTTAGAAGTTGCAAAATGATATACATTTTGCTTATATACTGTCGTGCCATACATTTAAATAAATGCTTACTTCTTTGGAAAGGAGGCTTCCCATCTTTCTTTTGTTTAATATACACATTATCATATCATATCATATATTCATTATCTTAACCATTCTTTAGTGTACAGCAAAACTGACCTATGTGAGCCACATGTCTATATTGGCTCAATTGGTCAAAAACCAATAATGGACATCCGTACGACATCTGAACTTGCTCAACAATTTTAACGTCCAAACATGACCCAACGTGGATGTCCGTGTGACGTTTAACATTAACTTTTGACTGGGTCATTTTTTTGGACGTCATGTGTACATCTGTAACAGGTGCAGGGAGCTTACATGATTAATAAATGTAATATTGTTTTATTTAAAAATATCAGCATTGTTGTTGTCAAAAT